AGTACATGTTATTACAAGCAGCCATCCTTTGGCTTGTCATTTCCTCACAAGGGGCAAAAGCATTTAACTGCTAAACTACAAATCTGTGCAAATCAAGCTACTTCAGTCGCTCCAAAATGTTTTTGTTATCTCTGCCTCTAAAAAAAAATTTTCTTTTTTGCTCTCAAACATATAATTGACTTTTTAAATATTTAATAACGTCGTGAAAGCTTTTCTTTCTACGTCAAGTATAAAATTAATCCTTTTCATTTTATTTTATTTTATTTTATTTTGAGACAGAGTCTTGCTCTGTCACCCAAGCTGGAGTGCAGTGGTACGATCTTGGCTCACTGCAACCTCCGCCACCCGGATTCAAGCAATTCTCCTGCCTCAGCTTCCTTAGTAGCAGGGATTGCAGGTGCGCACCACTACGTCCAGCTAATTTTTTGTACTTTTAGTAGAGATGGGGTTTCGCCATGCTGGTCAGGCTGGTCGTGAGCTCCTGACCTCAAGTGATATACCCACCTTGGCCTCCCAAAGTGCTGAGATTACAGGCATGAGCCACCGCATCCCGGACCCTTTTCATTTTAGCTCTAAATATTAACACCCTATTTCATAATGATCAAATAAAATGGAAGAAATTCTTCTCCTTTAAAAACAAAATGGTTACCTGAAAACAGATAATGGTGAAACTATTTTTCTGCATATTAAGATAAAAGAGAAAATATATAACAATATAAAACAAAAAATATGTAAAATTTTCCATCATTTTCACAGTACTACCAATTGTATTCAGTGCCACCAATATATTACTTTGGATGACATATGTTAGTAATACCAAAATTAACAAAACCCACAACCACACAGTGACAATTTTAACAATTTAACAATTTTCACAAATCTCCTTCAGAAGCTAAAAGATCAAGTACCAAAAATTGGTAAAGAATAGACAAATGAAAGACAATTAGCAACTGATTACTAATTATATAGATTCCTGCACCAAACAATTAGAAAATACATTCTTTCTAAGACACACAAAGCACATTTAAGCAAAATTAATAACGTTAGGCCACAAATGTCTCAAAAAGTAACAAAGAATTGATATAACACAGACCACATTCTTCAACCACAATTCTATAAATTAAAATTTTTAAATAAGCAGTTTTTAAAAATCATACATTTGCTATTAAAAAACACTTTTGAATAACTCATGGGTTAAAAAATAAATGTGCATAGCACAAGCACTACACACTGGAAAAAAAATATGTACAATATACCACATATGAAAATGTATGGAATACAGCTAAAACAGAACTAAGATAAAAAGTTACAATGTTAATTAAATGTATTAGCAAGCAAGAAAATTAAAAAGCTAATTATTCAAATTTTAAAAAACTATAAAATAACATCAATTAAAGAATTTTGTTTTTTTAAATAAAACCTCTTAAACTAAAAACAGACCAAAACTTATTTAGCCTGTTAAGGAGTATTGACCAAATTCTGCTGCAAAATCAGACTCGATGGTAAAAAACTCCAAAAATTTTCTTTAAAATGAGCAACAAGACAAGAAGGTCCACTACCAGCTCTACTATGCAACACTGTATTGGAGGTCTTAATAAGAAAAAAAACCTTAGCCAGGCTTGGTGGTTCACACCTGTAATCCCAGTACTTTGGGAGGTTGAGGAAGGAGGATTACTTACACCCAGGAGTTCCAGACCAGCCTGGGCAACATAGGGAGATCCCATCTCTACCAAAAAAAAAAAAAAAATCACGGGTGTGGTGGCACATGCCTGTGGTCCCAGCTACTCAGGTGGCTGAGTCAGGAGGATTGCTTGGCCCCAGGAATTCAAGGCTGCAGTGAGCTAGGATCGTGCCACTGCATTCCAGAGTAAGACAGTGTCTCAAAAAAAAAATTATATATAAAGATCAAAAGGAAAAACTATAATCATAATTCACAGACAATAAGAGTGTCTCAATTTTTTTAAAAAGGAAATCGCCAGAAAGAATAAAACAGTCCATAAATATGTATACTAGTTGTCTATAGAAGAAAAATGTTAGAAATAAAGGTTTTTTAAACTACGTCATTTGTAATAGCAACAAATAAGTATCTAAAAATAAATTTAACGAAAAGCTCTAAAACATCTTCATGGGTACAATTATAAAATTATCTAAGAATATGAAAGATAGATCAAACAGATCGAAAGATAAATAAACCATGTTCATGCACAGAAAGAATTAACATACAGATGGCAATTCTGCCTAATTAATCTATATATCCAATGCAATTAAGTCAAAATTCCAGTAGTATTTTATAAAATTTGATATACTGATCCTAAAATTTATATGGGAGAGGCTGGGTGCAGCGGCTCACGCCTGTAATCCCAGCCCTTTGGGAGGCCGAGGTGGGGGGATCTCGAGGTCAGGAGATCGAGACCATCCTGGCCAACACGGTGAAACCCCATCTCTACTAAAATACAAAACATTAGCCAGGCATGGTGGCATGCGCCTGTAGTCCCAGCTATTCAGGAGGCTGCAGCAGGGGAATCACTTGAACCCAGGAGGCAGAGGTTACAGTGAGCTGAGATTGCCCCACTGTACTCTAGCCTGGTGATAGAGCAAGACTCCATCTTAAAAAAAAAAAAAAAATTTATATGGGAGAATAGTGATATAAATTTCAAGAAGTAATCTGTGATGAAAAGAAAAATAAGAAGGGGATGGGAAATCTATTATAGATAAATGGTCAAAGAAGGACTGAGAAGGTGACAGGATCAAAGACCTGGATAGAGGGAGGAAGCAAGTCTTTCAGATGGAAAAATAAAACAGACTACTAGAGCTCATATTGTAAATAAAAACAAATTCCTGATATATATCAGGAATATATATACTTTTACTGTAATTTACTGTAACATAAGCCTTAGTCCTGGCTCCCAACAACTTGACTTAAAATATATATATATGTATGTGTGTATATATATATTTTTAAGTCAGTTCTACACAAGAACTTTCAAGTCAGTTCTACTAAGAATTACTAGGTTTTTAAAAAATTTATTCAATTATTCAAGTAAGGCCATTTTAGCTGATTACAGTTTCAAAACTATATGCATGGTACCATGTTACAGAAAAAGAACACCAATTGTGTCAAGTCCACTGAGAAATCTGGGAAGGGAGAGAAAAAGTGACTATTTTGAGATGTTTTAGCTGACTTCTTAATTGAACTTTGCCAAGTATGAGGTATCCAATCTCCCAACTAAATAAAATAAAGACATTGCCCTAATATCACTGTGGTTACTTAAAATACACTTAAAAATGAATAAATAATGGTCTTGTTCTAGCATAAAGCCTACCTTTATATACAGGGCATTTGTGATCTCGAATGGGAACACAATTTTAACCCATTAACTTAATACAGAGCTCCCTCTGCTGGCCCAGAGAATGCACAGTGATCCTAACACTGACAAAGACCCTCTCATGTCACTTCAATTTCAATAATGTGTCCTGCCGTTCGGGGAAAAAAAAATCTCACCCAAAATACCACTGATGTCATAGCATGTCCTATAAATTAGGACTCTGAAGTCTCCATTACCTTAAGAATCTTTTCTTCCCCTTCCTCCTCTCCCCGTTTTTTATGGCCTTAAAAATGAATACTTTTACAGAGTGTTTACTATTTGCTTTTTGGTGAAGTGGGCTGAAATAAGATGGGCAGTGAGTTGATCACTGCTGAAGCTGAGTGATATAGGTCCACAGGAGTCATGATATTATTGTGTAATTGTATGTATGTTTTAATTTTCCAAATTTAAGTAACTCCTAAAACAATAAGGAATTTTTTTAAATCTCAAAATAAGTGGCAAATCTGTCAAATCTGTAATCCAAAAGGGAGAATTACAAAACCTGCAAAAGACTGTCTGTGAACAAATTTTATTTAATGTTACTCAGACTGTGACTGCTTAGGTTTTTAAATAGTTCTCTTCATGATTATAATAAAAGATGCATGTTTCTCATTAGACATGCTAAAACTATCCAAGTTCAGAAACTGGAAAGAATAAACAACTCATTGAATTAGCATTTGAATTATGAAAATCACATTTGGAAAAAAATTAATTCTTTGAATAAAAATGGGCACAATTTCCCTAACACGTGCATACACAACACATGCTAACAGGTCGGCCTAGTTGTATTGCACAGTGATTATAATCATCTACATAATTAAACCCCTTAAGACAAGCAGATGATTTAGCACTCAGAGTCAATGAAAAGAACCAGAGGTCAGTAACTCATTACTGCAAAATGAACATACTTTTAAAACAGAAGAGGAGGAGAAGGGCAATCTAGTACATGGCATTTAGTTGATAATTTGTATATCACCAAACATGGGATTTCTAGGGTGCCTTAATCTTGAGTTTAAGGGATGAAACATAAAGCACCACAAGCACTGAATGACACAAGAATTTCACTCTAAGATAGGAGCTGAACACAAGGTGTTAGGCCTAGTTACAGGCAAAAAAGGATCAGCCAGATATGGAAAGAAGCAGAGATGAGTTTAAAGTAGAAGAAACTGGATGGAACTTTTCAACTTGTCCAGTCATCTTTCATTGACTGACAGTGTTGGTAAACTTGCGTTAGACCCAAACTGTCATGAAAATAAACTGAAGATGTATGTACAGTAAATAACTCAGAATGTCATTACACCTTGATAGGAATTATGCATCAAACAATGCATGTGCTTCCAAAGATCAAGGTAAGGAAGGAAAATAATGACAACATTCAATGAGAAAATGGCTGTTCTGGTTCAAAAGCAAAATCCTTTCTCACTGTTGATGCTTTCTTGACTTTGACTCCACAGGTCAGCTTTCCCCCTCCCCAAACCTCCTGCCCCCATTGCAAACCTCCAAGTTTTCTACTCCTTTGGTTGTGACAAAAGAAAGAACTCAAAGCTAAGCCTGCATAAACCATGAGAATCTGTCTTCTCTGAAATATGTATGCTTGATCTGAGAAGTCAGTGGATTTACTTAGATAAGCCTTACTTTTCATAGTTCCTTCCTCTTCCTCATCCTCTGTATTGATCACCATGGTGCCCAGCTGTGATGGCAACGTGTCATCGTGCTCAATCATAGTATTGGCTCCATCAGTCATGGTGCTGGCTACTCGGACAGTGCCCATCTCATCACCCACTGCTCGAACCATTGTGCCAGAATCCATTTCATCCTCTTCCTGTGAACAGATACAATCTCAAATTGGGGCTAATTTGACAAAAGACTCTGAGTTTTCTGAATAGCTACTACTTAGTGAAAATATTTCGACATTTAACACTTACTCAGGTCCTAAACTCACCTTCCAGAAATGAAAGCACTGTTACTTAAGCAAAGATGACAAACTTATCCACATGATAATAAGCTTTGTATCTAACCCTAAAGGAATTCTTCCTCCACTCTTCTTAATAGAGTTTTGCAACATAGATCTAAGAAACTCATGTGAACATCTTTGGAATCTCAGGGTTGTGAGGAAGTCTATAAATGTAAAAGCTACATGTTAAGTATGGATCCCAGATTCCCTAAAAGGATATGAAAAGCCAAATCCCAGACCTGAGCATTCTCTCTCTAAATAAAAAGTTAAATTGAGTAAAAGATGGGGGGGCAAAAGAGTGAAATTTGAAGGTGTTTTATAGGAAGCACTGGGAGAAGAACAAGTACAGATACAGCAACCCTCTAGCATGAGTTGGTCCAGGTTAGGACATAGCTAAGCTGGAAGTCTCCAGCTCCAAGTTGATCCAATACCTCCTACTCATCTTACCTGGTTTGGCAATCATAAAATAACAAGCATCAATGCCTGAGGCCCACAGCAATGGCTGCCACTCACTGAGTTTTCTTCATCGTCCTGGTCCACTTCCCGCTGCTGGGATTCCTGGCGTTTCAGTTTCACATCCATGGCTTCATTAATTAAGTCTCGCAGTATTGACACTCCTTTGGCACTCTTGACAAATGGGTGCTTAAAGAATAAAGTAAAAAATACTGTGGACAATTTATATGGTGACAGTGCCAAAACAGTACCTAGAATACAGTAGGTACTGGATAACATGTGTTGAATCAATCAATGAATCTGATCTTTCTCTTTGTGCTTTGGACAACAGCTAAACCATACTCCCTTTATAACTCTGAGCAGAGCAAATTCAGTCTTTGCCCATCTTTTTCAGCCTGGCTGAAATGCCTATGCCATTTCTCTCTGTCAAATCTAGCGATTCTCAATAGGGAGTATCATCTCCTGAAGGAAGTTGTGTAAACATGTTGGGAACATGTTATAGCTGTCACAATGTTTGGTGAGCACAAATGGCATGGGACACTAGCAATTCTGCAAAGTACAGAACTGTCCTGTACAACAAGGAACTGTGGCAGATTCTGCACATCTTTCAAATGTCTCAGGTTGTGTACACACCTTAGTAGATAATACCAAAAAAATGTTTTCAAGAGATATGCAAAAAGGCCAGTGATTTGGGAGGTGATTTTAGAGAGGGGAGCTTAATGGAATGAAGAAATTATTTAGCAATCACTGAAAAATCTACTCATCTGACTTGTTCTACAGTAGCATTTCCAACTACACATTTAGGTAAAAAGGATTTTAGTGCAAAAATGCAGTTGCTACAGAAATACTAAACTGATCATATATATGTAACAGATTTTGACCCAAATATTATTCAATCACCAAAGATACTTGAAACAAAGGGATATTGTTCAATTTCATTAATAAAAATTGCTTTATAAGTTTTTAATATTAATACCATCATATGTTTTTATTATTTGTATTTGTAGCACGTGGTAAGAAATCTATGCTGTGAAAGTTACACATGGAAATTCTTTTTGGGGAATTGCCTATTGTCTTCCAAACTTACTCTAGTATTGTCCCCATTGTTTCTTGGCAATCCATTCTCTGTTCTCCATCACCCATCAAAGGATACAAGTTCCAAGTAAGAACTCCAGAGATGTAAAGTATACCTCAAAATGTGGTCAGATTGCAATACAGGAGATACATTTCCATGACATTTTGTCACTACCCCATCCAGGTAGGAAAAGAATTTGGCAATCCACTTAGAAATAAGACCCAGCTCATTTGCAATAATATCATATTGCTTTGTTCTTTCCACTTGGAAAAGCTACCAGATCATATCCCACCTTCTGTAATCAGAGACAAATAAATCTGGCCTGTTATTATTTAACATCAGTTTCATGCTAGTGTCCATTCATTCTTTTTACTGTATTTCTTAAATGGCATAGTTTCTGATTTTCTTTCTTTCTTTTTTTTTTTTTGAGATGGAGTCTTGCTCTGTTGCCCAGGCTAGAGTGCAGTGGCACAATCTCAGCTCACTGTAACCTCTGCCTCCCAGGTTCAAGTGCTTCTCCTGCCTCAGCCTCCTGCCGGGATTACAGGCATGTGCCACCATGCCCAGCTAATTTTTGTATTTTTTTAGGAGAGATGGGGATTCACCATGTTGGCCACGCTGGTCTTGATCTCCTGACCTCAAGTGATCCGCCTGCCTCAGCCTCCCAAAGTGCTGGAATTACAGGCATGAGCCACTGTGCCTGGCTAGTTTCTGATTTTCTTACAGCTCTTAAATCTAAACTCATTCATGATGCCAGGCACAGGTATCTATTTCATTATGTCTGCAAACTGGGTCAGGCAGAATTATTTGCAAATTGAAAGTCATATTATTTCATTATAAATTATCTTTATTTTTCTCCATCACATCACAGACAATATTGATTCTTTTTAAATTACAGGCATAAAAAGGTTTTATTATATGTGAGTTTCATTCCAAAAAAGTAATGAGAGTTTTTAAATATACACATTGTTATAAAAAGGGGGCACTGGGTCTGAAATGGCTGCAAATGATTGGCCTAGCCCAATTATAATAGCTGATATTTATCAAGTTCATACCATACTGTCTTCAGTACATGTGAACATTGTTCAAAGTAACACACATTATATCATTTAATCATCACAACACATGAGGCAGATACTGTATCCCCATTTTATAGATCACAAAACTAAAAGAACAGAGAGGTTAAGTTACTTGCCCAAGATCACAAAGCTAGTAAATTGGGAGCCAGGATTCAAACCTGGGCAATCTGACCAGGATCCAAGCTCCTAACCACTAAGCATACTGTCTGCCACATCCCTGCCACCTATCCTTCTAGGGCCAGGCCTAGAAGCTACCTACTCCAGGAAAGCACTTTTTGCATCTCCAGTCCAAAGAGGCCTTCTCCCACCCTGAACTACAACAGTACCCACCACTGATCTTAATTCTTTGTCAGACTCAGGTAGACTTGATGGTACCCCTGCTTTGGAATAAAAAAGACTCAAGTTCTAACACTGACTGTGCTATTTACCAGCTGAGTGACCCTAAATGAGTAAACCTCCCTAAGCTTCCGTTTTCTTCATCTATAAAACTGAACTAATACCCACCCTTCACAGGGTCTATGTAATGATTAAATGGCCCATGTGCAAAGTATGTGGCACATAGCAGGCACTCACTAAATGTCAATTCCCTTTCTCTAATTCCATACTACCCTGTATTTTCTTGCATTATTGTCTTGTTTGATGATTTAACATTATTTTCCATGTCTTTTCCACTCAAATAGATTTGAACCTCCCTAGAGGCAGGCAATGTCTTAAACTTCTTTTACTTTGTTTTTTGAGATAGCATCTCACTCTGTTGCTCACGCTGGAATGCAGCAGTGCAATCATGCCTCACTGCAGGCTCAACCTCCTGGGATCAAGAGATTCTCCCACCTCCCACCTCAGCCTTCCAGGTAGCTGGAACTACAGGCATATGCCACCACACCTGGCTAATTTTTTGCATTCTTTTTGTAGAGATATAGTTTCACCATGCTGGCTGGCCTCCAACTCCTGGGCTCAAGGAATATACCTGCATCAGCCTCCCAAAGTGCTAGGATTACAGGCGTGAGCCACTGCACCCAGCCTGCCTTATACTTCCTTACTGTCTCCACGTAGGTGACCTCACGGCATCTTTTGGTCAGTGTGTAAATGAAATGGAGCGAGGCGGCATCAGAGGGTGATTCATACCTGCAGGAGCTGAGTGGCTGTGGCTCTCTGCTCAGGACTCTTTACAAGACACTGTTTCACAAAATCTGTAAAGTTATCTGACCACAGCTCTGGTTTTCGGAATGTGGGAGGAGGATTTGTGGGAATCATGAAGATTGCCTGGTTAGAACAAACAAACAAGCAAAAAGATCTGATAAAATAAAAGTAATGCTCCAATAAAAAAAAAATACATCTGGAATTACATTTGAAGCTTAGTAAATAATTTTTCACTTATCCACTGAGAAGCTCACCCAAATTCCAACAAAAATCTAAGCATTTGCAAGTACAAAGCCTGACGGTTAAAGAACCTGATATATCTCCCTCTCTCCTTTTCCTTCTCTCATATATGGGTCTTGTTCCCTAAAACTCACAACATCGATCAAGCTTTATTATTATTATTATTTTGGTAACCACAGTACATTGCCTTTTAAAGTAGAAAGGTGAGGCAGAAGAGTATCTACATCCTCAAGATAACCCTGGCCCCATGGTTGTCAAGTTTCCCTGCCTCTTAAAAGTTATTACCACCCCCAGATGTCAGCAGCAACTACACAATAAAGTCATTAACCAGAAGTCCCAAAAATCACAATGGGGTCATTAACTTCCAAACTAAGCTAAATCAACGTATGTGTGAGGGGGAGAAATTAAAAATTGGCCCACTATGTTGCAGTTACATTCTACTGTTTCCAAAAATAAGACTATTATTTATTAAATTTCCAATTTTAAAAAAGCTACGTTTTTTGAAAAGTAAAACACTATACAAATAAGCAGCTTAAATTATATTATTTAAATCTAAAATTGTAACTAGTAAATCTCCTCGCTCCTTCTCCCAAAAAAGAGGGAGGACTTATCTTGGGAACATGAATTTTTGTAAGTCTCTTAATAGGAGAATTAATTAATCAGAGAAGAGGAAAAGCTGGGGTAGGGAAGGATGGAGAGGACCACAGAGCCCCTGAGGAAGGCAGGGTTGGGGGCGGGTGTTACAACAGTGCTGTGATGAAGGGTTCTGGGACAGTTAAGCCTGGGAACTGCTTAGGGTGTCAGCACTGGAAGAGCTTCACTGGAGATGCATTCCATGGGCCCTTAACATTCTAGAAGGAGATAGAGGTTGGAGAGTACACAGTCTCCAGATGAAGAGAATCTGGGGATCTACAAGCCAGAACTTATAAATTCAAACACCTATAGGGGCCAGGCAGAAGCAAGACAAAAAATGAACAAGGCTGGGTTTCAGTGACATGAGTTCAAAAATACAGTTTGCTTTCTTCTTAACACTACTATAAGAAAAACATTAGAGAAATACTGTAATAAGTGGCAGCTGATACTTGGTGACACAACAGGGAATCATGGAGACTGATAAAGTAGAAAGTTCATACTCTGTATAAAGGAGACAACCACTACTCAGCTCCAGTGAGAATGCTGACATGGTAAAAAGTGGTTGTCCAAACTATTCAAAGAGAGTGAGTGAGAGTGTGTGTGTGTGTGTGTGTGTGTGTGTGTGTGAGAGAGAGAGGGAGTGTAGCGCAAATCAAACTAAGCATTTCTATGGCCTACGTCCTGCCAGAGGGCTATCAATACACAACCTCTGGAATGGAGAGGGGTGGAACACACTTAATGACTACAACTAGAGTCAGTAGAGGTATATCATCTATAGTGACACGAATTACACATAATTCATTTATTGTTTGCAACCTAATCAAGTAAGCCATCGAACTAATTTTTTTTTTTTTTTTTTTTTTTTTGAGAGTCTCACTCTCTTGTCCAGGCTAGAGTACAATGTCACGATCTCGGCTCACTGCAACCTCTGCCTCCGGAGTTCAAGAGATTCTCATGCCTTAGCCTCCCAAGCAGCTGGGATTACAGGCACAAGCCACCACACCCAGCTAATTTTTGTATTTTTAGTAGAGACAGGGTTTCACCATGTTGGCCAGGCTGGTCTTAAACTCCTGACCTCAGGTGATCCATCCACCTCAGCCTCCCAAAGTGCTGGGATTACAGGTGTGAGCCACAACACCTGGCTTGAACTTAACTTTTTAATGATGATCAGTAACTAACCACGCCACTGGCTTTCTGTCTACTTCCTTACCCTCATTGGATGGATATCAGCATAAGGGGGCTTTCCTTCGGCCATTTCTATGGCAGTTATTCCCAGGGACCAGATATCTGCTACACAGTTGTATCCAATTTCCTGAATCACTTCTGGAGCCATCCAAAATGGTGTTCCTATCACTGTATTCCGCTTGGCCATGGTATCCTAAAATAGAAAGGGAGAGAGACTGACACTAAGCTTAAAACTACCGAGATGTCTACAGAAAAAAAAAAGAAGAAAAAAAAACTATTGAGAAAAAGAGGCTTTTCCAACAATAAAAAAATGCCTTGTACTTGAAATACATATAAAAACTATACTCCGAGCATGATTAAGCAGGCATAGAAGAAATTCAAATGACAAAGAAACACAAAAAGATTCTCAATTATTAAAACACAAACTAAGATTGACAAAAAATTTTAAATTAATAATGCTGATAATAGCATAGAAAATCAGGCACTGAAATACAATGCTACTGCAGTATAAATTGGTACATTTTAGTACGTAAGTTGGCAATATTTATTCAACTTTTAAATATTCACATCCTTTGATCCAAATCTATTTCTTGAAACCTATCTTATGTTCAAGTGTTCCAAACTATATGCACAAAGACTGTAGAAATGTCTGTAATGGGGGGATGAGGAGGAAAAGGAAACAACTCAAATGACCATCAAAATATAAGAAGTTAAATATAATAAATAACCATATACTGAAACACCACATTAAAAAGAAAAAAAATGAAGATATATACCTTTTCCTAGCATGGAAAAAATGCACAACATACATTATTACAAAGCAAAAAAAAGTTGTAAAATTATATGTAACATAGCCCTGTTTTTGTAAAAGGAATATATATATAATAATGATGATCATAACAATAATAAAACAATTACCAGTAATAAGAAATGTTGTTATATCATAGTACAAAAAATCTGGAGTAATACATACTAAACTATTAATAATAGTTATATCTAGTAGGCAGAACCACTAAAGGTTTTTACCCTCTATCCTGTATACATCTGTAACATTCTGAAAGTTTACATGAGCATACATATGCAGTAAAAAAATTTAAAAATTGATACATAAAAAATAATATACAAAATATCTTAGTTTGTGGCCTAAAGAAGAATATGTGGATATAGTACACATTACAGCAAATAACCACTTGCATACTTTCTCAGGATAGCATGGCCCTACTGAAAGAGAACCTCCCTACAGTTCCTATGCTTTAGCAAAAGAAGGAATTTTTTTTTTTTTTTTGAGAAAGAGTTTTGATCTTTTGCCCAGGCTAGAGTGAAGAGGCACAATCTCGGCTCACTGCAACCTCCGCCCCTGGGGTTCAAGCAACTCTCCAGACTCAGCCTCCTATGTAGCTGGGATTATAGGCACCCACCACCATGCCCAACTAATTTTTGTATTTTTAGTAGAGACAAGGTCTCACTACGTTGGCCAGGCTGGTCTCGAACTCCTGACGTCAGGTGATCCACCTGCCTTGGCCTCCCAAAGGGGATTACAGGCATGAGCCACCACGCCCAGCAAAACAAGGATTTTTAAACAGAACTAAATACAAGAAAGGATTTCCAATCATGATCACTGATATTCCTTCTGAAATGCCTGTGACTTAGGTCATGCCAGTCAGAAGCAAATGACAGGTCATTTAAATCAATCTCATTGTCAGTCCTATGTAAAAAATTAACACAGGAACTAACTTACTGCTTAGTCATTTCCTTAGCTCTGAAACTTCAAATTTGCAGGGGTGTTTTCAAATGGTGGCAAAGTTGTTTTCACTGGATTATTTCAATTAGAAATGGTTACTTGCATAGCTAGAAAGTTTTTGAAAATTATTAAGAGTAATGATTGTACACTAACCCCACTTAGATTTGTATTATAAAGTTATATTAGTACAATAGCATAGCAATAAAAAATATAAAGTTCGGAAGTTGACTATGGCATATGTGTGTGTATATATATGTGAGTGTGTGTGTGTATATATATCATATATATGTGCTATATAAAACTTGTTATATATATGCACACATATACATGTTATATATATATAGCACACATATATAATATGATTTATGATTAAAATGTCATTTAAAATCAGCAAGCAAAGAACAGATTATGAAAAAAAAGCACTGGGAATCTAGTTAGTCATTTGTAGAACTCTACACTTAAATGCCTACCTTATACTTTCACCAAAATAAGCTCAAATAAGTTGAAATTTTAAACATAAAAAACAAAGCCCAAAGAATACTTTAAAAAAGTACATTAGATGGCCAGGCATGGTGGCTCACGCCTATAATCCCAGCACTTTGGGAGGCAGAGGCGGGCAGATTGCCTGAGCTCAGGAGTTTGAAACCAGCCTGGGCAACATAGCAAAATCCCATCTCTACTAAAAGTACAAAAAATTAGCCGGGTGTGGTAGCAGGCACCTGTAATCCCAGCTACTCGGGAGGCTGAAGCACGAGAATCGCTTGAACCCGGGAGGCAGAGGTTACAGTGAACCAAGATTGCGCTACTGTCCTCTAGCCTGGGTGTCAGAGCAAGACTGTCGCAAAAAAAAAAAAAAAAAAAAAAAAGTACATTAGCCAGGCATGATGGCGCACGCCTGTAGTCCTAGCTGCTTGGGAGGCTAAGGTGGGAGGATCACTTGAGCCCAGAAGTTCAAGATTATAGAGAGCTACAATCATGCCACTGCACTCTAGCCTGGGCAACAGAGCAGGGGTGGTGGCTCATACCTCTAATCCCAATACTTTGGGAGGCTGAGGTAGGAGTTCCAGAATAGCTTGGGTAAAACAGGGAGAGCCCATCTCTACAAAAAAATTTAAAACTTTAACTGGGCGAAGTGGCACACACCTGTAGTCCTAGCTACTTGGGAGCCTGAAGCAAGAGGATCGCTTAGGCCCAGGAGTTTAAGACCAAAATGAGCTATGAACATGCCACTGTACTCCAGCCTGGGTGCCAGGGCAAGACCTTGTCACAAAAATACAAAATAAAATAATAATAAAAAAAACTATAGATAAATTGTTCTATAATGTTAAGGAGAAAAAGGTTTTTTAAGCATGACATTAAAGACAGAAACCATAAGATAAAAGGTAGATGGATTTTTCTGTACAAAATTTGGAAACTTATGTAGTATTTTTTTTAAAAAGCCATAATCAAAATTAAAAGACAACTAGTAAACTAGAAAATATTTCAGCATGTAAAAAAAAGGAGTAACAATTTTAACAAATTTTTTTAGTTTTGGTTTATCTTTTTTAATAGATTTATTTAAAAGATGCAACACTCAGTCAGGCACAATGGCTCAAACCTATAATCCCAGCACTTTGGCATGCCAAGGGGGGCAGATTGCTTGAGCTTAGGAGTTTGAGACCACCCTGGGCAACATGGTGAAACCATGTCTCTACAAAAACTACTAAAAATTAGCTGGGGGTGGTGGTGTGTGTCTGTAGTCCCAGCTACCCAGGAGGCCAAGGTGGGGGGATCACCTGAGCCTGGTGGTTGAGGCTGCAGTGAGCCGTGATCATGTCACTGCACTCCAGGCTGGGTGACAGAGCAAGAACCTGTCCCAAAAAAAAAAAAAAAAGGTCCAACATTCAATTAGGAAAACTGACACACACAAAAATGAACATTTACAAACAAATTGTTATAAATGGCCAATAATCAAATGCAAAAATATGTGAATTGCTTTGAGAAATAACAAGAAAGATACAAGTTACTGCCCATTCAGCATTAGCAAATATGAAGGGAAAAGAGCACATTTATATACTGAAGTTGGAAACTGAAATTGTTCACTTCTAGAAGAAATTCAGCACTATGCATCAAAAGCACTTTGCCAATATACATTCATCTATTTTCTGACCCAGATTCCAATGTAAAGAAATTATCCTAAGGATTTACTCAAGAAAATGCTGCAAAATTTAGTTGCAGGAATGTTAATCACAGAATTTATGCTTATAGTGGTGGGAAAACTAAGCAACCTTAATGGGTACCCAACGTCCAACTGTAGGGAAAGAGTTAAATAAATCATGCTATATCCATACAATGAAATACCCATGTTGCCACCAGAAATAATATTACAGAGTCTTGGGTAAAGATGACAGCTTGAGCAAATACATTTTACTTTCACTCTCTCTCAAAACTCACTCAAAAAGATACTAAAAAGATTGTTTTTTAAGAATAAATCTAGAAGAATAAAAAAACAAAGGGGAAAACAACGACAGCCACAAAATTTTAAAAGCTGGAGAGCAGATGGCCCAGTAGTAACTAACTAAACACACTATAAGATGGAATCCTGAGTCAGTCGCCAGGAAAACTAGGAAACAACCTGATTTTAACACCAACCCCTCCAAAAGGCTTAGAAATTGGTGGCATCAGGTAGAGAAAAGAGGGGTGAAAACGGATATCCAAATAGGAAGCCTGGGTTGAAAGAGTTAAGAAGCAGCTAAGCACCCTAAACCCTCCTCTCCCATCAAGCAACTAGTGGGTTTCCCTCGCCCCACCCTGGCATTAGACTGGAGGTGTACTCTCTGGGGAGGGAAACCGAGGATCTCTAGACTACAGAGAGTGTGGGTGGTGTTGTGAATCAGGAACATTAAATGAGCATTAACAGCTAACAATCCCCACCGCCACCACTTCTCAGAAGGCTGCCAGCAAGGCCTACAGCCTCTAGAGAAGAGACCTGAGAGAGGCCTAAACTTAGTAGTACTGGAGGTTTCACAACCAAACAGCCAAGTCAGATCATCTTATACTACAGTTTCAGTTTATTTTAGTGAAGGGAAAAAAAATCTCCTTTTTTTTTTAACAAAACAACATACATGATCACAGTTCATTAAAAAAAAAAAAAGTACAGCAAGGTGCCAGGACACAAGATAATATACAAAAATCAATTGTATGTTACACTAGCAATGAACAATCTGAAAATAAGGCAAATCCATTTAAAATAGCATCAAAAAGTACAAACTACTTAGGAATGAATTTAACCAAATACATGCAAAACTTGTACACTGCAAATTATAAAACACTGCTAAAAGAATTAAAGAAAATCTAAATAAATGGAAAGACAGCTTATGTTCATAGACTGGAAGACAATATTGCCAAAATGACAGTATTTTCAAGCTGATTTAAGATTCAAAACAATGTCTACCAAAATCCCAATGGCCTTTTCTGCAGAAATTGACAAGCTGATCCTAAAATTTATGTGGCAATACAAGGGACCCAGAATAGCCAAAACAATCTTGAAATAGAAGGACAAAGTTGGAACACTCACACTTAACCAATTTCAAAACTTACTTCAAACTTACAGTAATCAAGAGAGCATAGAACTGGTGCAAGGACAGACATATAGGTCAATGGAAGAGAACTGAAGGCATAGAAATAAACTCATACATTTCAAGAAAGAAAAAACAGTCTTTTCAACAAATGTTGGAACAACTACATATCAACATGTAAAAAGAATGAAATTGGATTCCTATCTCACACCATGAAAACTAACTCAAAACAGATTACAGATCTAAACAGAAGAGCTAGAACTATTAAACACTTCAGAGAAATCATAGGAGTAAATCTTCATGACCCTGCACTAGCTAATGATTTCTTAGATGTGACACCAGAAGCACAAGCGACAAAAGAAAAAAGAAATTGGACATGACCAAAATTTAAAAATTTTATATTTCAAAGGACACCTTCAAGACAACCCACAGAATGAGAGAAAATATTTGCAAATCATGTACATAAGGGACTTATATCTAAAATATATAAAGAACTTTTAAAATTCAACACTAACAAGGTAAAAACCCAGTTAAAAATGGACAAAAGATTTAAATAGACATTTCCCAAAGATACACAAATGTCCAATAAGCAGAAGAAATGACAATCAACATCATTAGTCATTAGTAAAATGCAAATCAAGACCACAAAGAGATACTACCTCTTACTCACTAGGATAGTTATAATCAAAAACACAAAAAAGAAAATGTTGGCAAGGATGCAGAGAAGTTGGAATTCTCATACCTCAGCCAATTTGGAAAACAGTTTGGCAGTTCCTTAAAAAATTAAATATGGAGTTACCATGTGACCCAGCAACTCTGTGTATCATATGAAAACAAAGATTCACACAAAAACCTGTACACAAATTTCATAGTAGCATTATTCCTAACAGCCAAAAAGCAAAACAATCTAAGTGTTCAACTAATGAATAAGTAAACAAAATGTGCTACAGCCACAATGGAATATTACTGAGCAATAAAAAGGAATGAAGAACTGATGCATGTTACAACATGGATGAACTCGAAAACATTAAGTTTTCGAAGCCAGAAACAAAAGGGCACATTGTGTATGATTCTATTTATACAAAATATTCAGAATAGGCAAATCTATAGTGACAGAAAGCAGATTAGTGGTTGTCAAGGGCTGGGAGGAGGGTGGGGACTAACAGCTAAAGGGTACAGTTTGAGGATGATGAAAATGTTCTGGAATTAGACACTGGTAATAGTTGCACAATTTTGTGAATATACTAAAAACTAAATTGTACAAATTAAAAGGGGAGAAAAATTCTGCCAAGGCAGGCATTATAGCAATAAGAACACTGTACGTCATTATTGGGTATTCAATCAATTACTAAAATTATTACTAAATGGAATGGATACTCATATATATACACACACAAATAGGGATACCTATATGTATGTGTACATCATATATACATACATACATATGTATATATACATATATATGTGTACATATATATGTGTGTGTATAACATACTTATACTTTTTTTTTTTTGGAGATGGAGTCTCACTCTGTTGCCCAGGCTGGAGTGCAGAATGCAATGGCACAACCTCCCAGGTTCAGCCTCCCACGTAGCTGAGATTACAGGCGTGTGCCACCACGTCCGGCTAATATTTGTATTTTTAGTGGAGATGGGTTTCACCATGTTGGCCAGGCTGGTCTCGAACTCCTGACCTCAAGTGATCCTCCCGCCTCAGCCTCCCAAAGCGCTGGGATTACAGGAATGAGCCACTGCGCTCAGTCAATATTATATTATTTTATAGACCACCAGAGTATGTACTTTTTCAATTTGGTTTCCTTATTAAGATTGTGGTTTAGATAATATTGTCTGGTACTGTTTACTTGTGTGTTAACAATAAAACCTTTTGGAGAGCCCATAAATCATAATATTGAATAAGGTTCTGATTTATTTTAAACATTGAAGCAGTTTCTGTGCTGTTACAATACCTGAGACTCCCTAACATGTCCCAGGCAGACTTATAATAAAAAAATAAAAATAATTTTTAAAAAACTGTACATAACACCAGTTCTAAACATACACTATACATATTCATTCTATCACCCAAGAAAATCACTTGATATATAATATTGCTGCAAATTTTAGAGTATACCTCCCTAGAACTGTTTCTATTTTTCTATATATACTTTCGTATATACTTATGTATTTTATAGAATCAAATAATTCTGGACTTCCTATTTTGAAAACAAGTTTTTTTTTTCTTTTTCACTTCCACGCACTAGTTAGGCAGAATAATCAAGAGACTGTATCCTGGACTCAAACGAAGAGTGTTTCAGTACAGTAACCGCCAAGTACTACCTGGAAGATGAATGAGATGATGCTATGTCTTAGCCAAGGAAAGCAGTTTGGACTTAATTTTTCTTTCTTTTATAAATATGTTGATGTAGTCCACTAGAGTAATCTATCATTTCTTGTTTCATTTTTCATCTTTATAAAAGTTAAACAAAGTTAAGCTATGTGACCTGAACCCCAGGAAAAGATCTAAAATAGCCTACGGACTAGCTCTTTTGTAACCTATTGGCAGATTCTGTAATTTCTTACTAATACAATTAAGTCAAGTATTATATTTTTAAAATAGGCAAATAAAAGGAACTGCTTCTCAGGACAGAACTGAAAATTATCAATACAAGTAATTTTTTACTTACTGTAAGTTGACCTGCTACCCCAAAATCTGCAAGTTTTGCGTGTCCTTCTGTATTTAGCAAAATATTTCCTGCCTTGATATCTCGGTGTATTTTTCTCATAAAATGAAGGTATTCAAGTCCCTTAAGAGTTGATTGTAATATTGTAGCTATTTCATCTTCTGTTAACTGAAAAAAGAATAAGAGTTCAAAGTCTATAAGTTTACATCAGCGCATTAGAAAAAGGAGAAAAAATCAGATCCAAACACCTTTCTTTAATAGAAACAGATCTTATTCGACCTGTGAACAGCATTTGACTGCTTATACCATAGATACACTGACCACTCCCAAAGCTATATTTCCATACCAGATCTTCCCTCACTCAGATTTATGTATCTGCCTATACAACATCTCCAACTAGAATACCTAGCCAGCATCACAAGCATAACATGTCAAAATCAAATTCTATGTCTACCACCTTACCCCTCTCCCTCAATCCATCCAACCTACTCTACTTCTCCCACAGTCCTCTCTCTCTCAGCAAAAGGAAACTTTATTCTTTCAGTTGCTCTGGTCAAAAACCTTGAAGTCATCCTTGACTTTTCTCTATCTTCGAAATACTGTATATCCAAATACACCCTCTGTAATCACCATGGTCCAAGTCACCATCATGTCCTGCCTGCACTATTCTCATAATCTGCTGACTGGTTTCTTTGCTTCTGCTCTTGACACTCTACGATGTATTTTCCACACAGAAGCTATAATTAAAATGTAAGCCAGAGTCAAAACTTACCAATGTCTTCCTAACTCACTTAAAATAAAAGTCAGTCCTTACCAAGGCTTTACATGATCTGGCTCCCAGCTACCTCTTTAACTTCATCTTCTACCACTTTCTACCTGGCTCAATCTGTTTCAACAAAGGCTTGCTTCCTTGCTGTTCCTCAAACACTCTAAGCACACTCCCCTTTCTGGGCCTTTTCAACTGCCTATTCTCTTCATCCTGATGTCTATCCAATTTGCTTCCTCAGTTTGCAATCTGCCCAAATATCACCACCTCAAAAAATGGACAGGACTTTCTTACTCCATTTCTAGCTCATTCTCTATTCCCTTAAATTACCTTGTCACTGCAGTATACTACCATCTGACATATTACCCATTATTTATCTATTTATGTGATGTCTTCCCTGCTGGAAACACAAGCTCCTAAAAATGTCTGTTTTGTTTACTTTTGTTTCCCTAATACCAATAAAGCCACCTGGCACACAGTAGGCACTGAAAAAAATATCTGTTGAATGATGATAAATAAATGAAAGAATGCTAGAAACTAGTATAGAATGTCTCATCTGTCCAATATAGACTTTCTGCAGACCCAACACCAGTCCTAAACAAACTCAATCTATCACCAAACTTACACGGTTCCCCTTCTGACGAACAACTCACACGTGAAAAGGAGTGTGCTCTGGTGCAAAAACTGTAGGATTTGGGATTAGGAAGATGTAGCCTTTACTCCTGGCTCTACTTTCACGTGACTTAAGCAAGTTACTGACCTTCTCTTAGCCTGTTTCCCAATCTATAAAATAGGAATATAACTTTTCTTTAAGAGTGTCATGAAAATCAATTAATATAAGGTGTCATAATTTAACACCTATGATATTATCAATCAATATTTAATAAGCACCATGTACTATGCTAATAATATGAAAAACAGCCAAGCACAGTGGCACATGCCTGTAATCTCAGCACTTTGGGAGGCCGAGGCAGACAGATCACTTGAGGCCAGGAGTTCAAGACCAGCCTGGCCAACATGATGAAACCCTATCTCTACTAAAAATACAAAAATGAGCCAGGCATGGTGGCAGGCGCCTGTAATCCAGCTACTCAGGAGGCTGAAGCAGGAGAATCGCTTGAACCTGGGAGGTGGAGGTTGCAGTGAGCTGAGATCGTGTGCACTCCAGCCTGAGTGACACAGCCAGACTCTTTCTCAAAAATATATAAATAAATAAATAAAGGCTAGCCATTACTAAGTGTTTAATCTATGCTAAGCACTATGTTTGTAATCTCATTTCATCCTTACAACAATTAAATGAGGTGGAGGAACTATTATTATCATCATTTTATACATAATGAAGCTGAGGCACAGACAAGTTAAGTCATTTATGCCAAAGGTCACAGAGAAATGATAAAGCTTTCACTAAAGTCCAGGCAAACACTATTGGCAAGGTAGTAGGCTAGAGTCTGGGGTACCTTCTATAGTGGAAGAGAACAAAGCTCATGACTTGACTTACCACCTCTTTATTCTAACCAGCTAAGCTAATCAGTTAAAGTAGCACTGCCTAATAGAAATATAATGGGAACCATAAATATAATTTCTCATTTTTTTAGTGGCCACATTGAAAAAGGAAACAAGCAGGCGCAGTGGCTGGTGCTGTAATCCCAGCTACTCAGGAGGCCAAGGCACAGTAGTTCCAACATAGAGTGACCTATGATCACACCACTGCACTCCAGCCTGGGCAATAGAGGAAGACTCTATCTTTTAAAAAAAAAAACAAAAGAAGAAGAAGGAGAAGAAGGAGAAGAAGGAGAAGAAGGAGAAGGAGGAGAAGAAGAAGAAGAAGAAGAAGAAGAAGAAGAAGAAGAAGAAGAAGAAGAAGAAGAAGAAGGAGAAGGAGAAGGAGAAGGAGAAGGAGAAGGAGAAGGAGAAGGAGAAGGAGAAGGAGAAGGAGAAGGAGGAGAAGGAGAAGAAGAAAGAGGAAGAAGAAGAAGAAGAAGAAGAAAGAATTAATTTTGATAATCTGCTTTACTTAACCATATTTATCCAAAATATTATCACTCCACCATGTCATCAATATGAAAAAATTAAAGACTTTTGTTTACAATATTTTTGGCAATAATTCTTCAAACTCTGGTGTATAATTTATATTTACAGCATATCTCAGTTCAGACTAGCCACATTTTAAGTCCTTAATAACCACACGTGGCTAGTGGATATCACGGTGGACAGGGCAGGGTTATAACATTTGGCAAAATAACGTGTAGTAATTAAAAATCAGCACTTAGGCTGGGCACGGTGGCTCATGCCTATAATCCCAGCACTTTGGGAGGCCGAGGCAGGCAGATCACGAGGTCAGGAGATCAAGACCATCCTGGCTAACATGGTGAAACCCCGCCTCTACTAAAATTACACAAAAAATTAGCCGGGCATGGTGGCGGGTACCTGTACTCGGGAGTACAGTTACTCGGGAGGCTGAGGCAGGAGAATGGCATGAACCCGGGAGGCAGAGCCTGCATTGACCCGAGATCACACCACTGCACTCCAGCCTGGGCAACAGAGTGAGGAGACTCCGTCTCAAAAAAAAAAAAGGCGCTTAGTAATTAAGTTAAAATTTACTTAAATATAATAACCTACTATTACAACGGCAAAAAAAAACAACTAAAAGTGCCATCAAAATTAACTTTGGACTGGTTTAAAATACCTGAAATAAATTGACTTAATATCCCGGCCCGCGGGATAGTCAGAGCAGGCCCTGGAGGAGGGGGTGGGAATTTGGGGAACAAGAGACACGAGAAATGGAGACAAAACAGTGCTCTGATCAAGTCTCGTTTAATGGCGGTAATGCACTGCCTTATATACACTTGGAAGGGAAGGGGTTGGGCTAAGGCAGAAATGATCTCATTGCCGAGGGCATGGCCAGGTTAGTTTCGGTTTCTCCGGTCGGAGGTCATGTTGCGCTTGCGCTATTAAGTAACAATTTTCCCGGGCGCGGGAAAAGTGAGTGAAGAAGAAGCAGGAAGAGCGCCATCTTTAATGAGGTATTAGTACAGGGGAAAAAAGGCAAAGATAGGGAGAAGGTGTGGGGTGGAAATGAATATAGCTCAGGCGTTTAATCCTCAATTATTATTCACTATGGCCGGGGCGTGCAGCTCCGGACAACTTAATGCTGTATATAAGAAGCCCTGAAGTCCAATGTTTAATTCAATAAATTATTCCAGTTTTGGAACTTCTTTACATATATATTATGTTAGGATATTATTCCTAAAGAACTTGCTATTTGATTAAGCAAACACACTAATTCTGAATAATGTAAATTAAGAAAATAGTATATGAATAATCTAAAAGTTATAACTCAGTTTTAAAACACCCTTACGTTATAATTTGTGTAGCACCTCACAATTTACAAAGTACTTTTACATATTTAAATTAATTTTCCCAACTTTGCAAATATGTAATATAGGTATTATTATTATTAGTTTTCTTATTAAGATAAACTAAAGGCTAAGATTTTCCCTGTTTCTTCTCTTATCCACACACAATGTACACAGAGGTCAGAGTTCTCTTCTTTATTTTTTGAAACAGAGTCTTGCTCTGCTGCCCAGGCTGCAGTGCAGTGGCGCAGTCACAGCTCACAGCAGCCTTAACCTCCTGGACTCAAGCAATCCTCCCACTTCAACCCCCAACACACCCCAAAAGTTAGCTGGGACTACAGGCACATGACACCACACCTGACTTTTTTTTTTTTTCTTTTTTCTTTTGTAGAGACGGGGTCTCACTATGTTGCCCAGGCTGGCCTTGAACTCCTAGGCTGAAGCAATCCTCCGCCTCAGCCTCCCCAAGTGCTGGGATTACAGGCATGAGGTACCACACCCAGCCCCCGAGTTATCTTTCCAAAACATACATCAGATGGCTCACTCACTTGCTTAGAATCCAGCAATGATTTCCTATCATACTCGGGATAAAATTCAAACTCATTTCCATGACCTACAATATCCAGTACAATCTAGCCCTGCCCACCTGTCAAACCCCATCTCCTACAGCTTCTCCTTTGCCTATTCGCTTCTAGTCACGGTAGCCCTTCTATCACTCAGACATACCAAACTCATTCCAGCCTCAAGGTCTTTGCACTGGTTACTGCCCACCTACAATGTTCCTTCAGGACTCTTAGCTCCTTTTTGTCATTTGAGTCTTTCTGTAAATGTCACCACTTCTGAGTGACCTTCCTCAACTACTCTAAAATAGCCCACCAAACAGTCTCCACAACTTTACCATCACTTCACCTTCATTCATTTTCTTCATAGCATATATCATTATTATATCTTTTCTATTAATAGTTACCATTAATTTGCTTTTGTTGCCCTATTCCAAAGTGCACTACCATGACAGTAGAGTTGTCATCTGTTTTATTTACTATTAGATTCCTCAGGCCTAAAGCAGTGTTCAAGAAATATTTACTGAATGAATACATACAGAGATTAAGTAACTGAACCAGAACTAGAACCCATGACTCTTAGGTCTTATACTGGCAACCACAGTAACAGTAAATAATCTTTCATAAGGGGATTATTCTCTGATTAACAGGAAATAGAGGAAGTTAATCTGTGAACATGCTAGGTAGAAGCAGAAACCCAAATCCAAATCCAAATGTAAACATTTAGAATTCATTCTATAACCAAGATTTAACAGACACTTTTTTTCCCAGTAAGAAATAACCAAAGCATGCTAAAAATCACTGGACTAAATTGGTGTCAAAACTGCCACATTGCCAGGCATGGGCAGGTCACACCTGTAATCCCAGCACTTTGGGAGGCTGAGGTGGAAAAATTGCTTGAGGCCAGGAGCTCGAAACCAGCTTGGGCAACATAGTGAGACCCTGTCTCCACAAAAAAAAATTAAAAAACAAAACAAAACATGAGCTTGGCATGATGGTACAAGTCTGTAGTCCCAGCTACTCAGGAGCCTGAAGTGACAGGATCACTAGAGCCCAGGAGATAGAGCTATAACTGTAGTGAGCTATGACTGTGCCACTACACTCCAGCCCAGGTGACAGGGGACTCTTGTCTCTTAAAAATAAAAAGCTGTCACACTTAGGAGACATAAAAGAATAAAGACGGAAGAGAACCATGGAAAAGGGGAAATGTGACAGTCGTCTCTCTAGTAGGAGAATGTACTGAAAAAGAGGCAGAAAAAAGATAGCATAAGAAACTAGCTCAGCTGCATTGTTCTAGAAGGTAAACCTACCGTTTTATTTCGTAATCGAATGATATCAGATACAGAACCAGCCCCACAGTACTCCATAACGATCCATAAGTCCGTGTTCTTAAAATAACTGCCATAATATTTGACTACATGAGGGCTAGAGAGAGAAAATACAAATTAATAAAATGGCCTTCAAACGTCTCTTAATTCATGCTATTAAGTATAGAAAAATTAATTCCTCATCTGGAAAGATCAATTATTCATAGTTAAGGACAAAATGGGCAACCTCCTGATAAGAATGCAAAATGGTATAGCTTTTCCGGAGGGTAATAAATCACAGAAGTATAAAAAATCGGTGGCTCCTTTAACCAGCATTTCTATGTCTACAATTTACCCTCAAAAAAGAATTATAAATGTTCAAAAAGCAACAGTTACCGTCATAGTACTATTGACAAAAGTAGAAATTTAGGTAACATCTAAATGTCCATCCAACATTAGGGAATTTATTTAAGAACTAATGATACAGGGCCGGGTGCAGTGGCTCATGCCTGTAATTCCAACACTTTGGGAGGCCGAGGCGGCGGATTGCCTGAGCAAGATGGTGAAACCCCGTCTCTACTAAAATACAAAAAATTTGCCAGGCATGGCAGCGTGCACCTGTTGTCCCAGCTACTGGGGAGGCTGAGGCAGGAAAATTGTTTGAACCCGGGAGGTGGAGTTTGCAGTGAGCCGAAATGGTGCCACCGCACTCCAGCCTGGGCGACAGAGCAAGACTCCGTCTCAAAAAAAAGAAAGAATGATATAGCCATATAATAAAATATCATGAATCCATGAAAAATGTTATAGAGGAGTATATGAGAAGACATCGTGTTTACAAAAACAAACAAACAAAAAAGCAGGCTACAAAACAGTAATTATTGTAAAACTCCAAAGAGATTTGGAAGAATATGTGTATCAAGGAGTATTTAAGAATGATGATTTCGGGCAGGTGCGGTGGCTCACGTCTGTAATCCCAGCACTTTGGGAGGCTAAGGCGGGCGGATCACGAGGTCAGGAGATGGAGACCATCCTGGCTAACACAGTGAAACCCCATCTCTACTAAAAATACAAAAAATTAGCCAGGCATGGTGGCGGGGCCTGTAGTCCCAGCTACTTGGGAGGCTGAGGCAGGAGAATGGTGTGAACCCAGGAGACGGAGCTTGCAGTGAGTCGAGATCATGCCACTGCACTCCAGCCTGGGCGACAGAGTGAGGAGACTCCATCTCAAAAAAACAAACAAACAAAAAGAAATGATGATTTCTCCAAAGGGAAAAGTGATTTTCTTTTCTTTTCATTTGAATTCTTCTAAGAAGTCATATGTACTTTGTAATAAAAACATACACACACTACAACCTATTATAAAGAAAAAATGTTCAGTATCAAACCTGGAATTTTAGGTCTCAAGCTGGAAGAGAGATACCAAACAAGAAATTTCAGAGAAAAATCAAATATCCTATTAAAATAAAATAATGTGCTCTTTGAGAACTGCCAGCTTTAACTGGCTAGATGGTTATCATGGTCAAATAAAGTTTCATAACAACTGATGCTAAAACCAAATTGGCTTCATTAACTCAGAACTCAGAATTTCCTCTTCAAACCTCGGGAAACATGCCAGTGACAAGGACAGCAAAACACACACACACACACAAAGTCACAAGGACAGCAAAACATATACACACATACACACACACAAAATATTAATGAAAAAAGTGACTAAGGTAAATATTAACACATTTACTCTCCCTATAATACAGTACTGACGGGAGTTAAATACTGCAGGCCATTACTATCAAGTATTTACTACTGACATATGTTCTCTATAGTCTCGCATTGTTGGCTAGATTCTCCTCCCTACACATATATATATATGTATGTGTTTGTGTGTGTATATATATATACTTAGCCTGTCCAATTAGACTATAAGCTCCCAGAGCACAAGGGCTCTGCTCTGTATTTCACTGTATTCCTTACAGTGCTTAGCACAGGGTAGACTCTTATCTCTTCTTTAATTAAAGACATTTCCATACTCTGTTTGGAACACAGCTCCTACACAGTCTATCGAAAGTGACTAAGTCCCAATTTGCCAAATGGAAAGAACTTCCAAAATGTATCTGAAAAAGGAGCAAATGGAAAACTGCCACCTTCATCTGGTCAATCCAATCAAGAAAAATGGGGATTTTATCTAGTAGACAATAATCACAAAAATAGAAGGAAAAAAAAAAGGAGGGAGAGAGAAAAGAAAGGACTACATTCCCAAGTCTGTGAGACCGAAAGGCTTCTGGACTAATTTTCTAGTAGGTAACCCCACCTAAACCCTAATGTATAAGTTTTGCAAACAGGGGGTACTAAGTTGATCTGCTGACCAAAAAGCCTTCAGAAGAATGAATGCAGCTTCAACTGAGAGAATTTCTCACCCATCTTCAACTAACTAGAACTGGCATTGCCCCTAACTTTGTGTTTGTCTCTAATCTAAATAGTGCTGGGGAAGCCTGCTCTATCAGTGACCAACCCGTGTTGTCATGGAATTTCAGAGCAAACCACGTGGTTTTCTGTGGTCGTCTTTTGGTCTGACTTCCTGCTTACAACATTTGACAAATCTTAGTTCCTCAAAAATAAATACTTAAGTACTCTCAGCTGGAATAATTTTTTTTAATGTGAAGGAACAGACAGTAGTATATACATAACTACTCTTTTTTTATAGATTTACCTGGTATTCTAAGGTTTCTAGAACTAAAAAACATTTGAATTATCTGTTCTTAGCTATCTCTGCAGAAATGTTTTCTCAATAGGAAGTAAAAAAGATCATTATCACAAAAAAAAAAAAAAAAAAAAACAAGCACCACCTTCTGCCTCTTCTTCCTAGTGTCTAAAAGGGCTCACTGAAAAAAAGAAAAAAACCAGGCCTGGTAGCTCACTCCTGTAACCCCAGTACTTTGGGATATGGCCAAGGCAGGCGGATCATTTACGGCCAGGAGTTTGAGACCAGCCTGACCAATATGGTGAAACTCTGTCTCTACCAAAAATACAAAATTAGCTGGGCGTAGTGGCACATGCCTGTAGTCCCAGCTACTCGGGAGGCTAAGGCACAAGCATCGCTTGATCCTGGGCGGTGGAGGTTGTAGTGAGCCGAGATTGCGCCACTGCACCCCAGCCTGGGCAACAGAGTGAGACTTCGTCTCGAAACAAAAAAAAAAAAAACTGAAAAAAAACAAAAAAACAAATGCCATGCATAAAAATTATGGAAGTTTGGCTACAAAAACAACCATTTTCATCATTTTTTTTTCCAAAAAGAAAAGGCAGTGATTCCATCGAATTCTCCCTTCTGCAAAATATCTAAGTAAATGTGTCTCTAGGTGTCAAACTCTAAACAATCATAGCAAATTCAAAACCACATTCTCCCCAAAGGAAGCCCACAGGCCTTTACCTGTCACATTGCTGCATTATAGAGATTTCTTTGATTATCTCCTGCAGGTCTGATTCCACAGGAACTTGCTTAATAGCAACAATCTGACCTGTCTCTTTATGAATAGCTTTGTATACGCTGCCATAGGACCTATACATTTGGGAGAAGAAGAACATTTATAAAGTCAAAGCAAGCCAAGATATAAGAAGTGGTAAAACATAAGCAACTGATAGTTCTAACATACATCCCTAAGTGCCTAATATATACACACTTGCAAAACTAAGATAGCTGAAATACTTTGGGGGAAAAACTGTCAAGAGAACTACAAGAAAACGGCATCTTGAAAGCTTCACATTCAAAACTGTAAAGAATGTATTATTATGGGATGGTAATATAGTAGCTGCCATGCACTTCACGCCTGCTATCTGCTAGAGACAGTATACCATCTCAATTCATTCTTATAAAAAATGAAGATGAGATGATTATCCCTATTTTACAGGTAAATGTAAAAAGGTTCAAAGGAGTCTATGATTTGCCCAAAGTCACATAAGTTTTCAGTCCAGGATTTGAAACCAGTTGTGCTTTCAGTCCAGTATTTGGACCCAGGTGTGTCTGAAAACAAAGCTTACATTCTTTCCACATCTATACTGGGGTACGATATGGAAGTGGCAGTCTTTGTTTTATTACATTCACTCTAGTACCACAAGATCTTTCTGTCTTTGCTCCTCTTACTTACAATAATACTTAAAATACTATGGAAACCAATTAAAATCTAAGCCTGTTTAATGTTAGTATCAAGTAAACACAGCACACACACTCTTTGCTTCCTACTCCATCTTCCCTTAACAGCTCAATATCAAAACAAAGTTTATGTATCTAGTCAATTTGGAGGCTACAAGGCCAATAGATTTTGAAAGTAAAGATGATGGATTTGAGTCCTACCAACACTACATTTAGCTATCATTCACAAACACCTTGTTAACTTTGCCGTACCTGAATTTTCTCATTTGTAAAATGACAATAATACAAACTACCTTACAAGATGTGATAGCATCTCATTTGTGATGGTCAAATGAGATACCATTATCACTTTATACAGATAACATTTTCATTGGAATCCTGGGCAGCTGTCAGTGAAATAATACTGAGTAAACTGTCTTTCATATTTCCCAACACACCTGTATCTTCACACTGTCTTGGTGAAAAAAAAAAAAAAATTAAAATAACAGTGCCACCTACTATGTCAAAGTAGAATACTCTAACTGCCAAATAGATGCTCATGAACTGTTTCAATGTGAAAGTAACATAAAACTTTTTAAGTCTATGCAGAGCACATAAAAAAATTTCCATTCCATTAGAAGCTTTCATACTTGCAAAACTAGCATAATGATCCTTAAATATGACACCAAATAATTTTTGCCAGAGACAGCCAACTGTTGAGCATGTGTGAACGACTCAACCACTGTCCCTTCTTCCTTGCTAAAATAACCTAATTTGTTACAGTGATGTGCTTGATCCCAGGAGATATACCATGGTAGTCCAAGCCACTCACAGAATTCCTATTCCCTTCTGCCAGTGACTGAACTAGTGGCAAACATGTCACCCAGTTCTGGCCACTGAAACTTGAAGATAATTCTGCTGAAGGGTTTCTGGGAAAGACTTTCTTCCCTGGTAGGAAACAAGCACACAAGAAGGCCCAATTTCCACCTGCCACTTCCCTTCTTACTTTGGTTACTGAAATGTGAGGGATGATGCTTAAAACTAATGTAGCCATTTGAGACTATGAGAAATACCCAGATGTCAAACCATTGTCAAGCCAATTAACCGCTTCTCGAATCTCACACTCCCAGATGTATTATTTAGTTCTTAACGTCTTTATTGCTTAGCCACTGTTTGTTGGGTATTGTTACTTCCATCCAAAGGCATTCTTGATAAATTAGCTCCTGTATGTCTGAAACTGTATTTATTTCACCTGCACTCTAGAATGATAGTTTGGTTGGATACCAGATTGACAACGGCTTTCCCACAGCACTGTTGTTGCAGTGTTCCAACATCAATTGTGGCTGAGAAGTCTGCTTCCATCAGATTATCATTTTCCATGGGTAATCTCCCCATAGCTTTTAAGGTTTCCTTTGTCCTTAACAGTCTACTATTGTTCTGTAATATAACTAGGAGTTGATCTGGCACTTCATAAGCTTCTTCAATCTGAGGGCTCGTGTCTTTCCTCAAGAGCGAAAAATTCTCAGCATTATTCTTTTATTACTTCCTCTATCACTTCTAGAATCTTCTTCTAGAATTCCTACCGAAACTGTATCAGACCTCCTCAATCTATGTTGTCTTCCTGGTTTCCAACACTGTATTTCTCCGTTCTGCATGTTGTGATGAGTCTCATTTCTATCTTTCAATTCACAAATTCTCCTTTCAGTTTGTCTGGTTTACTGTTTATTCAATTTATTGGGCTTTTAAAACTTCAATTGTTGCAGTTTTCATTGTCCAGATTCCCAACTTTTTATCTGCCTTTGGGCAAATGTGTTAATAATCATGTTAATAATCTGATGCTCTTTAAAAATGTTATCTCCTCCTTGATCTTTTTGAAAATTGTAATCATAATAAATCCTTTTTGAGATTGCTCCATTATTTCTTTTTCTTCAGTGTGAATTCTCCCATTCTGCTGATTATGTCATGGCAGATTTCCTTGCATGGATTTCATTTTATCTTGAATGATTTTCCTCTATACCACACTCACTGTCAGATGATTTCATGGTTTTATCAGTACAGTCGTCTGGGATATACAACTTAAACCAGGTCTTACACTCAGAGTTTGGGGTTTTTGCCCTTCAAGATACCATACTTAAATACAATCCAGGCTCAGTTCCTATTATCGAACCAGTACATCTACTTTTTCCCCAGGCCACAGGCAAATGACACTTTCTGGTGGTAGTCAGGCAAATTTATTTCAGCTTTAGTTCATAGATGAAGAGCCGAGTTCCAGCCCCCATCTTCATGCAGGAAGCTCAAATGCAATCTCCTGACAAGGATAAGGCATGCTTTAGTCTCCACTGATTATTTAGATTTCTTTCCTATCCCTTGTCCATAGCTGTCTATATATCTTTATATTTAAAATAACTTTCACTCATTATTCTTATGTATTAGAAAGAAAGTTCTCTGCATACACTCACTCAGTAATCTTGACCAGAATACTCTCCATACCTCCCTATGCATCCTGATAGCAAGGAAAACTCTGATAGCTCATATGAAATTAAGATTCCTGATTCCATATACTGCATTTACAGTAATCTGAAGGGGGGGAAGGGTTAGAAGATTTCAGCAATCATACTCACAAGCAAGTCCCTTAAAACTTGATTCCCTACAACAAAATGAGATGATTCAATGAATTACAACTGACAGCAGAGAATGGAGAAGTAGCTGTTTTACATAAGCCATCCAAGGCAAGGATCTATGTAGAAAAATGGAAATACTACAGTATCTGAGGCCAAATTAACCAGGTACAAGTCTTAACAATAGCACTCATTTTTTATGAAACCATGGGCAAGATGCTTTTGTTATCATTCTAGGATAAAAACTTAAATGAGTCAATGTCTACAACTTTAATCAGAAGAAAAAAGGTGCTAGGCTCCACTTGAAAACACTTCCCAAGTGCTCTCCACTCATCCTGGTCTGGAGCTTTGGCTCTACTCTGCCGCAGATCCATATGACCCTCATAACACAGAATGACTGCAGCTTCCAGAATCCAACAGATTTTTTAGCCAGAGCTCACTTCACAAGATACAAGTCAGTGAGGATTCACAAACCATTCATTCTCCAGAACAATTTAAGAATAGCATTGGCCAGGTGCCAATCACATCTGTAATTCCAGCACTTTGGGAGGCTGAGGCGGGCAGATCACGAGATCAGGAAATCAAGACCATCCTGGCCAACATGGTGAAACCCCGTCTCTACTAAAATACAAAAAATTAGCCGGGTGTGGTGGCGTGTGCCTGTAGTCCCAGCTACTCAGGAGGCTGAGGCAGGGAAATTGCTTGAATCTGGGAGGCAGAGGTTGCAGTGAGCCAAGATTGTGACATTGCACTCCAGCCTGGTGACAGAGCAAGACTTCATCTCAAAAAACAACAACAACAACAACAACAACAAAAAGCATTGCATCACATGTTTGGAAAAAAAGTACAGTGAAGGTCTTCCTTTAAAATATTCCTAGTTAAATGAGGCTTTCTTAGGTTCATTCAGTCAGAATAACAGAAATCCAAGAAATACCAGAAATCTGTTGTTATTTAGAAGAACAATAAGGTGATAGTATAGGAAGAAAGATCTGAAGCTTTGTTTTCTCCCTGGTGATATCTTCATAGGGAAATTTCCACATTCCTTGCAGAAGACATCCACAGATCTAAAATGCAATTTGTCCAGGTGCAATGGCTCACGTCTGTAATCCTAGCATTTTGGGAGGCTGAGGCAGGAGGATCACTTAAGATCAAGAGTTCGAGACCAGCCTGGGCAACATATTGAGACCCCATCTCTACAAAAATAAATAAATAAACAAATAAATAAAATACAATTTAAAAAATCATAATTAGCTTATTTTTGTTTACATTATATTCCTGATATATTCTCTGTCTATAGTCTTCCTTTGACATTCCACAAACTCAAACAGCTCAAACAGAGCTACCTATAAGAACACCTAAAAATACTTTAAGACTTGACATGATGAGATCTCAAAAATGCTTCAGTTGATACATTTAAAATAGAATAGCAATAGTTGCCACTTACTGAACATTTATTATTGTGACAAGCACTATACTTTACCCTAATTACCTCAGGTAATAACATAACTCTATGAATCGATATATTATTATCCCAACTTTACAGATGAGGATTGTGAGCCTCCAAAATAGTAAGCAATTTGCTCAAGCCCACTTGTCTATTATGACCAATAAACAGTAGAGCAAGGATTTTAACCCAGGTCTGCCTCACATTATAGTAATAAGAGCAAATTGCATTAGAAATGAGAGAAATAAGTTAGTTGCAGAGTCAATTATGCCTATCAGTTTTGACCTTATTTTAAGTATAACTTATGAGCATTGTTAGATTAAAAGTCATGGCCTCGCTGCCTTAGGGAAAACAGCAAGGATGGGAAGCTGAAGCTGAAAATGGCAGGCAACAGATGTAGAGGGACTGTCATTTCCCCATACCTTTAATGATGCCAGTCAACTGGCAGTCTTCAGATTCATCTTGGACTTGTCTTTTCACAGCACAGCTGGTGTGTCATCTTTTACTTCCCTTCTCTGCTTGATTTCTTGCTGGATTCCAAAGAGTATTTTTCCAACTTACAAAAAGACGATGACTAATGTTTTTTACAAGGAGGTAAATCATGAAAAACCATTTCATGTAATCCAGGATTGGGTTTAACGTTGTAAATCTGTCTCCTAACATAAAAAATACTAAACCCAAAAAATAATCTAATGACATAAAGGAAATGATTTTAAAGAGCATACAGTCTTCAGTCGGTAGTTGTTTTTACAAGTATGTCAGGTCTTCCCTTGAACCAGAAATACTCCCAAGGGATTAAAAATACAGAGACGCACACGCATAACCTGTCTCTGAAAGACACACAAGAAGCCGCTACCCTCGGAGATTCTGGGTGGCTGAGAGACAGAGAGAGGTAGGAGGCAGTTTTGTTTTTTTTTTAATTGTATGCATTTTAATATTTTTTTAAATTTTGAATCATATGATTGTATCACCTAATCAAAAATCAACAAGAAAAACTTAAGAAATTATGTCCTTAACATTTTAATTTCCTGGTCATTACAGAGGAAGGAATAAATACACAGGACTGAATTAAAAGGATATATGAAAGCATAAAAATTATGTAAACTTTATTGTATCATGAAAGTCAATGATGGTCACTGCACATTACTAATACCGTTTCATCAGCATTTTATAAACGCATTAACAAATCTGTGTTTCAAGAAATCCACTGGCTCCCAACCCAGGATTGTGGATCTCCTAAGTAGCTGCAAAGGTGGTGATAGTGCTTGATTTACTATATTTCACAAAGGTGCAAATATTAAAATACTAAATTCCATTGATTTTCATTGAAACAGTTATTGCAAACCAATCAGAAATTATGAACAGCAAATTTTAAAATTTCTTATAGAATTATAATCTAATTAGTGCTATCTGTTCAGTAGATAAAATCATACAAACCACAGATTCTACAAAAGAGAAAACAACAGATATTCTTCGTGTTAAAAAGACCAGGAATCACTAAATCTGTCTATAATAGTGATTGGAGTAAACCGAAGAACATCACAAGTTGTAAATTTACCTTCCAACCCACCTAGAGCAATGCTGAAAGGTTCATATCCTTCTGCTTCTTCTGAAGCAGGAAAATGACTGGGACCCAATGGCCTACCCACAGTTTATTTACACTCACCCTTCTCCAAGTTTCTCTAAGACATCAAATACTTCTTCTGGTTGTTTGGTTAAACTATCTTCATCCAACTTTTTCAGCTGCCTGTGAATGAAGAAATATAAACACAAAATACATTTTATTTGCTAGCAACTAGAACATAAAATACATCATTTATTTTATAATTAGCATCCCAGGAACTTCTCTATACAGTATTTACTAGTTAAGATTTTTTTAAGAAACAGGGTATCACTGTTGTCCAGCCTGGGGTGCAGTGGTGCATAGCTCACCGTAACCACAAATTCCTGGGCTCAAGCAATCCTCCTGCCTCAGCCTCCCAAGTAGCTGGGACTACAGGCTCCTGCCACTACGCCTGGCTAATTTTTTTTCTTTTTTGGAGAAATGGAGTCTCACTATTATGCCTACACTGGTCTCAAACTCCTGGAGTCAAGCAATTTTCTCACCTCAGCCTCCCAAACCACTAGGATTATAGGCATGAACCATCCCATCTGGCCTATGGAAAGATGACACTTGTTCTGGGTCACTCTGATAAGCAAGCACATGGAGGGATGCCAAGAGTCAATCTTCAGTTCAAGTTGTATAAGAATTTTCTAACAATTGCCAGGCGCAGTGGCTCACGCCTGTAATCCCAGCACTTTGGGAGGCCAAGGCGGGTAGATCACCTGAGGTCAAGAGTTCGAGACCAGCCTGACCAACATGGAGAAACCCTGTCTCTATTAAAAATACAAAATTAGCCAGGTGTGGTGGCTCATGCCTGTAATCCCAGCTAGTTGGGAGGCAGAGGCAGAAGAATCACTTGAACCCAGGAGATGGAGGTTGCGGTGAGTCAAGATCGCATCATTGCACTCCAGCCTGGGCAGTAAGAGTGAAACTCCATCTCAAAAAAAAAAAAAAAAAAAGTTGTGTAAGAATTTTATAATAATAAAAATTGTCCTGCATAATGGTTTGGACTGCCTTAAGAGGTCCCTAGGTCCCCTTTGCTGGAAAATGTAAATAGAAAACAAACTGTCATGTGGGCCAGGCATGCTGGCTCACTCCTGTAATCCCAGCTCTTTGGGAGGCCAAGGAAGGCAGACCACTTGAGGTCAGGAGTTCAAGACCAGCCTGGCCAATATGGTGAAACCCTGTCTCTACTAAAAATATAAAAATTAGCCGGGCATGGTGACACACGCCTATAATCCCAGCCACTCAGAACGCTGAGGCATAAGAATCTCTTGAACCTGGGAGGTAGAGGTTGCAGTGAGCCAAGATTGCGCCACTACACTCCAGCCTGGGTGAAAGAGAGAGACGGTCTCAAAAAAAAAAAAAAAAAAAATTGTCATGTGGCTGAAATGCTGTAGATTCAAGCATTCGATGTATCCTTCAAAATCTATTTAAATCTTGAGATTTCATGAATTAAAATTATATAATTATCTCTTCAGAAAAGGTGTTTAATGTAAGGTAATTATGAATTGAAACATAACTATGAACTGGACTACAGACTAAGGAAGACATAGGAAACCTTTGCTCTTCCATTAGCAAGTTTTTTGTAAGTTTGTCAAAACACATAAATTCTATAGGTATCACAGAAACAGAAAGTGCAAAGTGTACGTTTAGACATGATCAAAAGTGAAAAATCACTAGGCAGCTGAGAGTTTCAGATATACTCACAAAGACCTTCCCATGAGTAGACACATACCTTTGACCAGTTCCAAAATTCAAAGGTACTTGGCTGCTCACAATTTCCAGATAATTCAGATTCCTCTGACTATGCTAGACAATCATAACACACACGTGAGGTTGTAAATTAACACTTCTTTAAAACTCTGAGATCTCTAAAAATTACTAATGAGCTTAAAGAAGGAACTTGCCAAGGAATATGTATGTGTGTGTGTGTGTGTGTGTGTAGTCTACACAATGGCTTCCTGAAACTACAAAGAACAACAAAGAATAAAGAGCTGAGGAAATGGTGAAATATGGAAGTAGTCACACTGGAGACTTCTTTGTAGAAAAAAAAAAGGTTTAGACTAGCTGGATAATATCAGTTATTACAAGAAAAGACTTAAATACACATACATACACACACACACACACACACGTGTACCTTCCTAAATAAAACAGATTAAAATCAGAAGACAAAAAATAAAACAAACCAACAAAAACCCTGACCACATCAAGTGTATCTACCAATAAACACTGATCTCAAAAGGACAATCTTACAGAAGTTTATGAATATCAAGGACTATGTACTAGAAAAATGGAGAACTGCTCCAAGTCAAAACTGCCTTAACTTAGTATCAACAAAACAAAATGATCACAGTGACCTTTGAAAACCAAAAGGTCCTAAAAATCAGATACCAATGACATCATAAAAACGCCTACCTTCAAAATGAAAAGGGATGAAGTGAAACTCCTCTTAAACTTCAGAACTGAAACTTCTATAAACTCAAGTCAGAACGAACATCTCATATGCCAGGGTTTTTCTGGTAAAGTCCTGACTTGTGATTGTATAAACATTGGACAATACCTCATTTCTCAAATATAATCAAAGTTGTATAAACAGCTTATACAAAGGAAGATCAAATATGTTTCTTTGAAGTGTTGACTCTCTGTGGTTTACAAAATGCAAAAGTCACTATTTCAACTACTTCAGGGACCACAGCATAACAAAGGAAATTGACACTGCCTTGAGAGAGACAGCTGCAAGCTTCTGATAATACTTTGACAGACAAACTTTATAGGACTGCTCAGATACTTCTTTGAAACAACCTACGTGGTTTTTTGTTTGTTTTTGATCTGGGGCTATTAAAAACAACTTGAACTTAAGGCACTATTAACCAAGAAGTGGTCAAAATATATTTGCAAAATAGATTCACAAATGTAATGACGGGAATCACGAATTTCATCAGCAATCTTTGTGAATTATCACAATAAAACAGAATTTCACCTAAAAAGTATTACTGAATTATCAACATTTCTATAAAAAATATTTTGATAAGTGATTCATAATAATATTTTATACCATGATTCTTCACAGAACACTATTACCAAAACAGCCTAACTCTGATAATGCGGTTCTCTTATCTGGGACTTCCCCAGGTTTCCGACAGTTTCAGCACTTGCTCATAAATGAACAAGCCTGGTCAACAGAGCATCCATGGACCAAATACTAGTGGATGCTTCTCTCCTAAGTCAGATGGCCATGTGGATGGCCAGCATCCTAGGAATGCACTCTACACCTTCCACTATATCATTTTTTTAAATTATTAACTCTTATATGAGACACCAATCTGTCATCACTCACTTAATCACACACACACAAATGTCAAACTCATGAACACAAAGGGCATTTCCTGCACTGGGGTTGTTGGCAACACATGCCATCTGAATTTCTGAAAAGACACTTGTATCTTTCCAAACACAAATAATGGTGTCTATGAAGTAGTCACTTACAGGTTTGACTAATTCTCAAAGCTTTCTCCCATTTCAGAACTCCCATAAAGTTCATTTTATGTATAACTATTTCTTTTTCCACACAGAGTTTGATAAGGATTACAACAAATATACATGATAAATGGACAAAATTTTTAATAATAAAACTGTGTCCCCAGCTTACCCCAATTCATATGTTGAAGTCCTAACACCCACCATCTCAGAATGTGACTGTATTTGGAGACAAGGTTTTTAAAGAAGTAATTAAGATAAAATGAGGTCATATGGGCATGACTTAATCCAATATGACTGGTGTCCTCATAAGAGGAGATTAGGACACAGACAGGTATAGAGGGAAGAACATGGAGACACAGGGAGATGGCTATCTACGAGCCAAGCAAAGGCCTCAAAAGAAACAACTCTGACAATGCCTTGATTTCAGATCTCTAGCCTTCAGAACGGTGAGAAAACAAATTTATGTTGTCTAAACCACCCACTCCATATACTTTGTCATGTCCTAATAAACTGATGTAAATGATAATAAAATTGATCTGCTTCAAATTAGGCAGTCTACTAGTTACAATGAGCAGGTAATCATCAGCCACTTAAGAACCCCGTCTTGCAATGCTCTTCTCTTGTACTTCATATAAATTTTTTAAAATCCAAAAGGTACAGGAATGAGCATGCCAAGAAACTTTAATCCTCTGCCCAAGATTATGTAACACAAGGCAAAGAGAGAAACAAAACTCAGATTCCTAATCCTCTTTTCAATTAAATCAAGGCCTCAGAGAAAGAAACCAAGAAGAACGAACGAACGTAGTTCAGAAAGAAACATAACTAGTGTGCATTTATATTTGGATCACTGTGGTACTATAGCAAATATCTGCTAACATACACAGAGACCTGTGAAACACGGGTACTTTCAGAGAGGCATCAGAGTGAGGCAGTTAAGAGCATGGCCCGGTGCGGTGGCTCACGCCTGTAACCCCAGCACTTTGGGAGGCCGAGGTGGGTGGATCACAAGGTCAGAAGATCAAGACCATCCTGGCTAACACGGTGAAACCCTGTCTCTACTAAAAATACAGAAAACTAGCCAGGCGTGGTGGCACGCACCTGTGGTCCCAGTTACTCAGGAGGCTGAGGCAGGAAAATCGCTTGAACCTCAGAAGGCGGAGACAGCAGTGAGCCGAGATTGCGCCACTGCACTCCACACTGGGTGACAGAGTGAGACTCCGTCTCAAAAAAAAAAATGGACTTTGGACCAGACCCCACGGATATTAAAATCCTAGCTCTGCCTCTTGCTATGACTTCTCCCAGCAAATCACTATCCTGTCTGTATCTCAGTTTTATCATCTGTAAAACAGACATATAGGGATATCTACCACCCAGGATTGTTGTGAGGTTCAAATGAGTCAATAAACTGAACCATATGATATGAAGTTACCGTTTCTATGGTTCAAAGATGGTCAAATATCAGCAATTTCATATGCTTCAGCAGGAGACATGGAAAGCACTTAGAACAGTGCCTGGCACCCGCTAAGTGCAATATGAGTGTAAT